TACACAGTTCATATTATAAGCTACATTATATACCAATAGATAAAAAATAATATAAGTTAAGGAGAAAAGCCCGACATTTTTCAGGAAAGCTCATCGTAAGTACAGGTTAATTGTCCTGTATCCTAAATTCTTAGGACCGGAAGTATTTCACATTTTGGGATTTTTTTTTGGATTTTGGAATATCTTCATTTTACTGATTGAACATTGAAAATCCAAAATCCAAAATGTTCCAGTGAGCATTTCCTTTGGGCTTCATGTCAGTGCTCAAAAAATTTTAGATTTTGGAGCATTTTAGATTTCAGATTTTGGATGCTCAGCCTGTATTATAAATAGAATAGTTGTTTAACATTAAAGAGTATTTTGCTAAACCCAGAAGATGAGGAAGGCTTTAACTTTTTAAACTTGAATTTGAGAGGAGAATATTGATTTTAATCAGTTGTCCTCTTAATAGAAAGCCTTGAAGTTTTAAAAGGAATTATCATTTTTTATTTCAATAGGAGTCTAGAATAGTTAGTTGGCAGGATAAATTCTGAATCAGTGAAGTTTTACCATACTTGAAAATATACCTTCAATACTTTTTAGTGTATTTTCCTAGCGATATTTAAAAATAGTCTATTAGGGGTAAAAATATTCACCTGTGTACTGTTGGTTTTTCTCTAAGTAACTTTGTTTTTATCTTCTTTCCAGGATCTGACTGGCATAGAATCTATGGATCAATGTCGCCATACCTTGGAACAGCATAACTGGAACATAGAGGTATTGATTGATTCCAAGCTTATTTCTTTTTCTCTGGTCTGATAAAGAATCAAAAACATATTATTTTTCCATAGCGGGAATCTTTTCTCTCAATAGATTTTTTTTTTTTTTTCAGAATTATGACTCTTTAAAAAGAAGTGTGGGTTTTAGGAAAACTGTTGATTTTAGAACAGTGTTAATTGATAATGGTAATAGCAAACATTTTGTCCTCACTGTGATGCCTCTAATGTTGTATTATCAAGTGTGATGTTGGTTGTTGCATTCAGATAGATCTACTAAGGTGTAAGCTCTGTGAGACAAGAGCTTTGTTTTTCTAGTTTTGTTTTTTTTTTTTTGCGTAGGCCATGAGGCATCTTTATTTTTCTGAGTCACATAGAGCTTGGGCTTTAGATGTTTTTCTAGTTTTAATTGCTATATTCCCAGCATATAACACTGAACCTGGTACGTCATAGGTTCTCAATAAATTTCTGTTGACTGTTCTTCCATTCTTAGTGTATTAATAATTTATATGAGGAAGGAATTTTACCAGATACCCTTTTGATCTCTGGAATTACTATTTTAATTATTGTACTATTTGAATAGGGTGCTAGATTCCTGAAAACATATTCCTAAGTGATATTTAGTTATTCAACAGATATTTTTGAGCAGTTAAATTCTAGGTTCTGGCATTATACCAGTGAACAAGATTAAGTCCCTATTCTCATAGAACTTAATTCTAGATAATTTCAGTTTGTAATAAATGATGAATAAGGTCTGTGTAGAAAATGTAATAGAGAGGATATGGGAAGTTATTTTAAATAGGGTGGTCAAGTACAGCTGTTCTGAAGAGGTTAACATTTGAGCTAACACCTAGATAATGAAAAGAAACGATGAATAGGAACATTTGGAGAGAAATGCATTTTGGGCAGAGGGAATGGTGGTGTTCAATGTGATACTTTTTTGCTTTCCTTGTTAGATTTTGATTTCACATGTTTGTTGGCTTTATAAAATGACTGACTTGATAAAATGAGTTGAGAAGGTTAAATAGCATAGAAATTAATCTATTCCTTAAAGATTTGAAAGAAAGTACCTGAAAACATGTTTCTGCCTATTCTCTATTGATTTTTATCAGGTCTCCCCTCCCCATCATTCATAATCTGTTTTCTGCACCTTTCTTGATAGTCTTTCTTAGAAAATGCTTATTTCTTTGAAATTTCTAATTTTTTGTATAGAGATATACAAAGCTTATCTTTCACTCTGCATCTGTGCCGTCGTCCCATTCTTTTTCTTCCCATTCTATGATGTTTACTTTCTTTCCCTTATTAAAAATGAGACTTAGTAGAGATTGGTTTGTTTTGTTTGTTAAAAAAATCTTAGTTTTTTTTTTTTCTGTTTTCTTATTTATTAAGAAAATATCTTTAATACATTTTCAGAATTTTTTAGGTTTCTGTTCTTTTTTTAGCATCTTGCCTTTTTTACAGCTTAGTTAATTTATTTGTACTCTTCTTTGCATTTAAGGTTGTGAATTTTCTTCTGAAAATGTATTTTAAAAGTTTTGATTTTCTTCTTTGGCCCAAGAGTTTAGGAACATATTTGGAATTTCTAGTAGTTTGCTTTTTCGTTTTTGTTTATCCTTTCCATATCAATCTTTCATTTTATTTTACATAGGTATCCAGTGAGATCTCTTTGTAATTTTTAACGTCCCATCGACATTGTAAAACCTATATACAAATATTTTTTAATTAAGTATTTCAAACTTAGAGAAAAATATGAAGGGGACAACCATGTATGTACCATCCAGCTCCTGAAAGCAAGACATTTTGCAATACTTGCTTCAGATGTCTTTTAAGCAAATGTAGATAAAGTGGAAGCCTCCTGTAAGTTGTTTGCTTGTCATCCCCTGCACTCCCTTTCTTTTCCTTTGTTTCTAGAAGTGACCGCTGTTGGCAATTAGGTGGTTATCAAGGAATGTTGTTGAATAAAGGTTTGATGTCTGTATTCAGTCA